AAAAAAAAAAAAAAAATACAGACACTGGGGAGGATACCTGGCATAGAGATGCCAGTGTGTGTGCATGCGGGTGTGGGCCAGTGCCTCAGAGGAGGTGAAGGCTTGGAACAGGGAGGAGAGGAGGCAGTGGACTCAGAAAGCGCCTTGGCCAGAGGTCCTCTGATCCATCCCCCTGCCTTTGTATCACCCAGCAGGGAGGCTCTGCTCTTTGGGAGTGAGAAGTCCAAAGGACACAAACCACAGTGGGAGGGGGCATGCAGAGGGACAGACCAGGCTGGCACAAAGGTCACACTCCTGGACCCCCAGCTCCCAGCCCTGGGCCCCTCCCTGTTGCACACAGTCAGGAAGCTGCTTCCTTCTCTTCTACTCTAAAGCCTATGTCAGAATGCCCCTAAATGGAACCAAGGAATGTAGGGATAGCCTAGTGTTTGGTGCTTTCATGGGGAGATGAGGGTAAAAGGAGCACCAGGGTCATCAAGGATCTGCCTGTGGGCACTCAGTGGATCATAGCAGTGCTGTGCACAGACCTTCTGCTCCAATTGGTCAGTGCCTGGCCACTCAGGTAAGAAAGTGTTGTGTGTATCACAGCCCTGCTCTCCATCTCTGCGGCACAGGTCGCTGGGGCAGGGCAGAGCCACAGAAGGGACAGCACAGGCAGGGCTCCCAGGTCGGCAGTGCCTGGGCTGCAGGGCCACTCACATCTCCAGGACCATGACGATGTTGGCCTTTTCTTCAAAGGCATCCACACACTGGACCAGCTTGGGGTGATGTAGGCAGTTCATGATGCTGATCTCCTCCCGGATATTCTCTTTCTCTTTTGCCGAATACGCCTTGAAGAATTTCCCTGCCCAGATTTTTCCAGTTTTCTTCTCTACAAGTCGAAACACCTGCCCAAATTTCCCACTGCAAGTGAGAGGAAGAGGAAAGTCAAAGTTAACCAAGCTTTCCACCACACAGGGGTTAGCATACTATGGCACATGGCTAAATCTAGTTTATCTCTTTTTATAAATAAAGTTTTATTGAAACACAAACATGCCTAATTGTGTACATACTGTCTTTGTCTGCTTTCATGCTAAAATATCAGAGTTGAGTACTTGTGACATAAATTATATAGCCCACAAAGCTAAAATATTTACTACCTGACCCTTTACAGAAAATGTTTACTGATCCTTGCTCTAGATCAAGGAGTCCCTGGGTTGTGCAAACGGTTAAGTGCTGGACTACTAACCAAAAGGTTGGTGGTTTGAATCTACATAGCATTTCCTTGGGGGAAAAGTCTAGTGATCTACTCTCAAAAACTCAGCCACTGAAAACCATATAGAGCACAGTTCTACTCTGACACACATGGAGCTGCCATGAGTCAGAATCAATTTGACAGCAATTGGTTTTGGCTCTAGATCAATGAAACACATTTCTAACATTGACAGATCTACTCTCTGTTGCCTGTCACCCTCAGCCAGGGCCTAGCCTGGCACCTGGCATTCCCACACAATTACTGTCTGGTCTTGCTCCTCTTTCAGGGACTGTCATCTTCTCCTTGGGCTGAGGCCTCAATCTTGGCTGGTGGACTTTTCTTCCTTTCACTTCAGAGGGACTCACAAAGTTGGGTGAAGTAATCTTCCCAAAATGCAGAGAATGACTGAGTGGCACCTTCCTGCTATTTATTACCCTCTGCAGCCCTGGTCCCCTGAGAGCCTCCCCAGGAAGGGCTTCTACCCACTGCTGGGAGAGGGGAGCAGCAATGCTTCTTTGTGGTACAGCTTACTTCTACAGAGGAAACTTCTTCTACAGAATGGTTACAGTATTTAAATCACTCCTTTATTTTGAAGAAGCTCACTGGGAATAAAAGCTGAGCTCCATTCCTTTTTCTTCCACCTTTGCATCTCTCCTGGGATAGAGAGTTGGGGGATATGGACAGCCTTAGGTGCTGCTAGAGGGGACAGGTTGGCTGTGGCAAGGGGTCAGGGATGGGGCCTGGGCCCATTAGTATCCTCTACACCCCAGGGAGGAGCCCTAGTGCATAGCACAGACCAAGTTCATCAAGGGAACCGTGATGATCAGGCCACGCCTCTCAAGAACAGGAAAGTGAAGCACTAAATACAGCTAGAACTGCTGGACCACATACACTGGTCAGGCTTGACTGCTCTCGTGCATCAACAGAAGGATCCTAAAAGTAGTTAGATCCAGACCCAGTCCTCTCATTTTAGTCTATGTGGAGAACTGGGGCACAGAAATGGGGGAGGGACCTTCCCAAGGCTTCCCCAGAAGTGTGACCAGGGCTGGGACCATGTGAGCAGATCCCAAGAAAGCCCTGGTGACGGATGCTTTGCTAGGGTGCTGACAGGGTCAAGCCCCTTCTGATTCTGCAGAAGTCTTGGTCACAGAGGAAGGAGAACCCAGGAACAGAGAGCATGACAAGGCACTGGCTTTAACCATGGCAGCTGCACCACCCTCACCCGGATGCAGCTTCCCAATGCACTTACGATCCTAGTCTCTCCTCGATGTCATAGAAGTCAGACACTTTTTGTTCGGTATTGACCGTCACTGTCCGGTAATCCACCTCTGGCTCCTTCTCATCTGTGGAGTTGGGGTTGGAGTGTGTATGAGCCATCAGACCTCCTGGACCACCCTCTCCATCCCATGAGCCTGACCCAAGGACAGGTGGCCAGTACTCACCATCATCTGACACCTCCACTTCGTCCTTTGGCTCTGGGGAAGACAAGGAGGGGCAGAGAGGACATTGGTGAGTAGTACTGAAGGCTACTGAGAGCAAAGCCATGCTGCGTACCTTGCCAGGCCTCACCTGCTTTCCCAGGCACAAGACCACCAAGCCCTGAGCCTGGTATCCCCGTGGGGTCAGTCAGTCCTCACTTCACTCAGGGACAGATGCAGAGTGGCAGGTACCGGCCTCTTCACTTCACCCATCACCACTCCTCCACCCCAATTCCTTCCCCTCCAACCTCATGGTGCCCTAGAGAGAGCATTCTTCACATCTCTACCAGTATCTCTGCCTTCCAGAACCCACGCACAACCACAACTGACACTTTCTGCCCTTGCCTGAGATTCAGTGACTTACAGTTGCTTTGAGTGTCAAATCTGTCTCTACATTTGTTGAACATTTTTAATGGAACCCCTGCAGTGTACCAAGTCTCTTACCGGTTATTGTGAATACAGAAAATATACTGAAGACATGATCTCTCTTTCTTTTATAGGGCTTATAATTTAGCTGGAGAGGTAAAAACTTATGTACTTGAAAGTTCAATTACAAAGTGTTATATAACAAAGGCTGTGATATCACAGTACAAATGGAATACAAGATGGAGGAAAAAACTCAAAATTGCTACAGTCTAAAGCAATTATCCTTAGAAGAAGTAGTCTTTGAGTTGGATCTTAAAGGAAATGATGGGACACAATGAGGAGGTGGGTGAAGTTATACCAAGGAAATCAGTAGACGCAAATGAGGTAAGATGAGAAGGAGGGACATAAGCACACACCCCTCCAGGCAGCAGTAGCTCCTCTCATGGATGGATCAGTAGTGAGAAGGGTAGAGATTGGGGGACAACAGTGTATTCGATAGAACACATCCACTTCAGAACTCAGGTTTCCTTTGCCTTGATATAAGTTTGCCCCTAGACAATAGGGCTATTATGTCTTCTTGTCCTTAGCTAAGAGCTTTTTCCTTTCTGTGCCTCGGTTTCCTCATCTGTAGCAGGAAGGAGTTGTGCTAAATTATTTTTTAGGGCCACTGGATAGCTCTAAATGCAGCTTTTTGCAATGTGCTTTGTGTTCCTCAGTCATGATCTGGGTTGTGTTCCAGCTGACAGAGGGAGTGAAGGAAGATTTCCTGAGGAAATAGAACAAAGACTTGAGAGAAAGCATAAAGGGAAGAAAAATTATTTGTGAATGTGTAGATGAGTAAGCCTTGGGGAAAGAGTGATTTGCTGAAGCTCCCAAGAGAACCAAAAAAACCAAACCAAACTTAATGCCATTGAGTCAATTCCGAATCATAGTGACTCCTCATGGGTTTCCAAAGCTGTAAATCTTTATAGAAGCAGACTGACTACCTCATCTTTCTTTCACGGACTGGCTGGTGGGTTCAAACCACTGACTATTTGGTTAGCAACCAAATGACTTAACCACTACACACCATACCTCCTCCCAGGAGAACAAGACTGAGAAAAAGAATCCCTCTGAGGGAAAAATGTGGATGAATCTCCTATGAGGAAAGAAATGAGTGGGAGTGGCAGAGGTTGTCAGACACTGCCATGTAGAGTGGGGCTGTACAAACAAAATGAGCTTTGCAGTGCTTTGGGGAGGTTTGCAACTGAGCATTTGTAGTGACTGAAGAAGAAATTGCTGAACATCTAAGCAAACATTCTGAGGAAAAGCAGCACAGTTCCTATACAACTATACAGTTCCTATATAGGATAGGTACTCCTTGCTGATCAAGAGTTTTCAGGGAGTATATAAGCATGTGGTCAGGAACAAAGAGAGGCTGAGATTTAGAGTTCTAAGAACTCTGTTGATGAAGTTCCACAATATTTTTTTAAAAAGAGGGATTGGGAGGAATATTTTATCATAGAATGGAAATTGGCATGAAAAACAAAGAAGGATGAGATAGATAGGTATTCTTGGTTAGCATCTAACTGATGAATGGATTAGTAGTGAGGTTTCACAGATACTGCCCTGACATGGGTCTAGGTGATCAATTTTTCTAGATCATGCATTTGAGAGTGAAGAGTGATCTTGTCAAATTCATGGATATCAAGGATGCACCTAAGGGAGACCTCACATAAAGCTGGAAGCCAGTAATGGAACCATGTTTTCTGAGAAAACGTAATCATCATCCTCTTGGGGCAAAAGCCCCAAGGTATCTAGTTAAAACACAAGAGATGGACTAGGGACACGTAGACAGTTTCTCAACCCATTGCTCTGGCCAATGGAATGCTGCCATCAGAGAATGGCCACTGGCCACCAAGAGGCATTAATACTCTGCTTTTGATAGAGTCTTGGTTCATCTGTTCCTGGAACTCTAGCTATTGGCATTCAGAAAACCTTGGTGGAGCTGGAGGAAGCATGGAGGGACATTGAAAGGAAGGGCTGCCCGGTTGAGACAATCAAGAAGAGTTAGGCATCTCTCATTGGTAAAGAAGTCTAAAGCAAACATGATCCAAACCCATTGCCATTGAGTTGATTCTAACTCATAGCAACTCTATAGCACAGAGTAGAACTGCCCCATAGGGTTTCCAAAGCTATAATCTTTTTGGAAGCAGACTGCCCCATCTTTTTCTCACAGAGCAGCTGGTGGGTTCAAACCACAAACCTTTCAGTTAGCAGCCAAGTGCTTAACCACTTCACCACCAGCGTTCCTTAAAGCAAACATGCTTAAAAAAATTAAATTATCCAATTGACAAGAGTGAGATTAGGGTTATGGACTTTTCATCAATCCAGGAATACAATCACGTGAGAGGATCATCTACTGGTATAATGTACATAGGAGGCAGGCTGTAAGTATATGGAACTCACACATCAAGAGGTAGTATAAGAAGAATAAGTAGGTTTAACAGATGTTTAGGTTAGTTCAACAACGATATTTCAAACAGAGTTTTAAGAGAAGCAAGAGAATCATGTCAATTCAACATAATTAATTGAGCACTTGGTGGATATTTGTCCTTGGACTAGGTCCAATGACAAACACTGACTCTCAGGGAGGCCCTGTTGTCCTGATCCATGGTGCCCTGTCTGAAACAGTGCATCAGATCTGACCTGCTGAGGCATCCTTTATTGTTTTGTTCCCTGCTGCATTTGCCACTTGTGGCATGGGAACTAGAGCAGTCTGAGCAGCTGGGCAAGAGAAGAAGGAGAAGGCAGGCTGTCTCATCCCACCATCTGTGGAGGAACCACTGCACTTTCCTAGGATCCCAGGGAATACTTTCCAGCTAGCCCTGAAGAAAACATCCAGTTCTAGAACTGGCCAATCACTCTGAATCAAGATAGACAACCAGAGCTAGCTTCCTTGCTCCCCACTCACAAATGCCATACCTGCTCACCATAGTCAATCATGACGCAGACCGGCTGTCTCCTCTCCCATAGGATGCACAATGTATTCCTGGTGCTTTGGTTGTGGGGACCAGATCATCATTAGAGAATTCAAACCCCTCTTTTAGACTTATTGTCATTCCACAAACTTTCTCGATGTGACATTCTGATCAAGACTCCAGGATGACACATTTCCCTTTTTTCTTGTCCTATCTGCCATTCTATTTGAAGGGAATAATGAGCACAAGAGGAGGAGCAAGAGAGAAATGGAGGAAAGAGCATAGTCCAGTTAGCCAGCTATCAGAGCATAAAGGGCTGTAGGAATGAGAAAGGTGACCACCTGGTCCCCATCTTTCCACTGTGGAAAGAGTTAAAATGTAGTAGGAGAGACTATTCAACTAAACATTGGGGGGGAGGAACCCAAAACTATTCCAAAAGAGCTGTAAGGACCAAGAGCTAAGTGGAAGAACTATTTGGGAGATTGTTCTGAGATCTCCCTGGAAATGGATGGGAGAGTGGACGAAGACCACCTGAGACCTCAGGACCCTCCAGTCAGAGAACTGTCTCTTTCTGCAGTTAGGGCTGCAGCACTCCTGGTGGACACTAGAGGGCACCCCAGCCCCAGAGACAGCCCCTGAGCAGTTAAGGGCAAGGATGTTTGATCATGCCCCTCAGGCATTTCTAACCTCCCTGGAGGTTGCCAGGAAGACTTCAACTCACAAGAAGCCTTCTCGGCAGCTGTTTTGATAACAACTCTATGTTGTTGTTATTTGCTGTTGAGTCGGACCTGACTCACAGCGACCCCTCCTTGGGTTTCCAAGGCAGTATCACTACGGAAGTAGATTGCCCAACCTTCCTTCTGAGGAGTGGCTGGTGGGTCTGACTGGTTAGCAGTCAAATGCCTTAGCCCTTATGCTACCAGAGCTCCCAACAACTCTATAGATTAGGGCAAATTAGACTCAGGGGCTGGGATGGAGTGGATTTAAGAGTTAGATCAGGATAAGCAAGGGAGTGGAGTTCAGGTTAATGCTTAAGGCCTGGATGGGATGGGGAGAGTATGGTCTTATCAGGGTGGCACTGCCTTTTTGGTGACGGTGACCCTCATACCCTACTGTCTTCAGTGAAATGACCTACCATAACATCCAGTCTATCCTTCTTCTCTGCCTTCCCCCTTCCACACCTCACCTCTCTCAGAGCCATTTCCCTTTTAAAGTAGAGAGATGATCTGTCCAGGTTTATAACAACTAAAGCATCTGAGTGGACAGCAGAAGACTTTCGTGGAATCCTCACTCCCCACGACCCTCTGCTGCTCAGGCCTAATGCTTGCCAACTGTTCTGCTCCTCCTCCTCCTCCCCCTTGGATAACCCAACTGAGCCTGAGGGTGGACAGCAGCTTCCTGTTTGAAAGCCTTGGGTGGCCTGGACCCCTCCTCTGGATTTCAACATTTTCCTGTCCGCTCCAGCAGGGGAAGAGCCCTGGGGGAGGAGAGTCCAGAACCATAGAAGTTCAGCTGGCTGCAGGGAGAGGCCACCTGCCAGAGCCAAGTGGCCTTGGCCCCTCCTCCCTTTAGACTCTCCCTACAGCTGGCCTGGCCTTCTAGGAGCCACAGCTGGAAGCTCTTGTGGGCACTGGTCTTGCTGTACCAACCAGGGGTTTTAGGGTTTCTCCT